GATGACAAAAGTTTATATTTAGTGTATCATGCAATTAAATTAAAAAGAATGTATGGACTTTACCCAGGTACACCCAAACATGGCACAGCCTTTCACAGGTATAAGAGGAGCTGCTGCAGTTTAATCAGGTCTGTCATCTGCAAGCAGAAAAGGGAGTGCACTCAAGTAAAACACCTGTAGGCATGTGAGAAACCTGAAAGCACAGTATCCCTGGCTCCTTTCTAAGGATCTGGACACTGCAAGGACAGTAGGGAGACTTTCCAGCATTAGCTGTGTTGACCTGGCAGGAGCAAGACAAATCATTTATCTCTGCTGCCTGCTCCCCAAAAATCCTCTTTAGGGTGAAAATCAACCTTAGTAAATCTCTTCCAGAGCATCTCAGACACCACTTGGTGTATTAGCAAACCTACCTGTCATTTTCTTTCAATGTAATTTTAAAGTAATGTGAACTATCACACAAAGCTTCTTTTTTAGTTCTGACCTACCTTTCTTTTCTGATGCTACTGTTATAGTTCTTCATCTTCACCATCAAGCCTAAATCAGAGGTAGCTGGAGGTTCTTTGCTGCCCATACATGTTGAACTGTGCTGTAAGAACACAGGTAATGCCAAGCTGCCATAAGATGCTGGGAATAAAAAGAGACTGAAAGTCTCAGCCTGGCAACTTCTGGTGGGCACTAGGCCTGCCCTCCTGGCTTGTGGTTGATGTGGAACTATGTAAGTTGGTGCCTATACCCTCACCAGGCCACTCATGTCATTTATCTCTGGGACCAAATCTATTCCCTTTTAAACCACACTATTGGCTGTTTGCTAAATTGATTCTTCTGACAAAGAAGCAAAACTTCCATAATTAATTTAGAAATATGACATCTTTCCCTGGCCAGTGTGGGTCAGTTGGTTGAAGCATTGTCCTGCAAAGCCAAAGGTCACAGTTTCAATTCCCAGTCAGGACACATGCTTGCATTGTGGGTTCCGTCCCCAGTTGGGTTGTGTTTGGAAGGCAACTGAGTGATGTTTCTTTCTTGCACATCAATGTTTCTCTCCCTTTCTTTTCTCCTCTTCCCCCCTTACCCCCATCTCTAAAAGAAAAATAAATAAAATAAAAATAATTTTAAAAAGAAATATGAGGTCTCTGAGGAGCTGAGACACAGAGGTGCTTTGGTGAACTCTGAACCTACTTGTTGTACCCAAAAGCAGTAGAGAGATGTCAAAAGAACTTGTCCCTTGCTCTTTACCGTGTGGGTGCTTGCAAAGGTACATGTATGGGTAAGTATGTGTGTGTGTTGACAGAAACCAAGGAAAAAATCATACAGATAATGACTTTTGTTTTCGCCTGTCCTTGTATATTTCTTATCCTTAGTAAGAAGCATTATTATAGTAGTAAAGATGTGAGAAAGCTCTAGTTTATTGTCTTTCATGGATCTTTAGTCATTTGCATATAGTTTTTTTTCTCCAACTGCCTGGCTAGTTTTTAGAATACTCACCCCAAGTCAACCACCACCACCACCACCATCAAATATGGTTTTACTCACCTCAGGGTACATTACAGCCCAACCTTTTTCTCCGTTGTCTATTTAATCCTTTCTTCTTTGTCCTTAATATTGTTATTTCCTCAGATTACAGTGCCTGCTCAGATTGGCATTCTCACCATTTCTGATAGGCCCTCAGAGAGCCTAGCAAGTAGATAGATAGGAAACTTTTTTAACATGAAACTTTTCCCCTTCTCAAATCTACAATTGGCTACTTATTCATTCATCCAGCAGATGTACTGGACATTGACTATGTGCAACACACACAGCTTCTTCCCTCAAGGGAACCATAGTATGTGCATGGGAGGGGGATTTGGCACAGTATGACAGTGGCATACTACAGAGTAAGTTCTGTTTAAGGAGGCTGGGAGGAGTAGGTGCAGTGTACCAAGAGTTTAGGATGTAGACAGGTAATGATAGGAAGGGTAAGAAATCTAGGTAAAAGGATCATAAAGAGCAAATGTTGAGCAGCAATAAAGTATGGAAAGTGCACAGAGAATAGCCCAGTTTTCTTGGAACTATATAGAATTTACAAAGAGTTGTGAGGGAGCTGAGGCTGAAGAAGTAGGTTTGGTGTGTGCAGAAGGCCTTGCATATGTGTAGTTCGGACAACCAGACACATCTGGTCCATCAGGAATGTTTGAATAGGAGAAGACCAACATTAGAGAAGGCATTTTCTCTCTAGATTAGTCTTAAATTCCTAGCACATGGGTGCTAGAAGAGGCCTACCTATCCCAGTCTCCATGTCATCCAGTGGAGGAGTTCCTTAGACAATGACCAACTTGGTTAAGGTGAAGGTGTTAGATGGGTTTTCTCCCATGCAATATGGTGCCCACAGTGTTGTGTTTGCCTGTTCCCACTGGCAGTCTTTAAAAGGCATCATTGAGATCAGCAAAAATAGCGTTTTTTTTTTAAAAAAAGAGGAATATTTGTGTACTTTACATTATATGAATATTTTAACAAGTTGATATTGTACGCTTTGTAATTTACATGAGGAGAGGTTTCATATACAAAGCAATGGTTACACTTGGAGAAATTATGTTTTAAAAGAAGAAAAGGAATGAAAATGTTAGTACTGTTTACCTTAAAATCAGAATTTGTGTTAACTTTGACATAATACCTATAATATTTGTTATGGTAGTCATTGAACCTTATGAAATCGCTGGTCACTGAAATATAAGGTAATATCAGACTCTTAAACTTGGTCAGTAGTATATATGTCAATTAAAACAATCATATTCCAATAATGATTGGCAATAGTAATATATACAGTACAGCTGCTCAGTATATGTCTGAAATGTTACTGAATCTTTGGGGACATCATGTGAAATTGCAAGTGTCTAGGTGAGATTTATATCCAGCCTATATAAACAATGACTAGTTTAATGTAATTTTTGGCTTTGTTTAATACATTTATAGTGTAAAATTACAACTTATGTAAAATTACAGATAATGCTAGAGTGGGAAGTAGGAGAGAAAGATTCTGTTTGGTTCCATTTTAACTTACCTCACAGTATTTACCTGATGGAGGAGTTTTGTAAGTATTTGGCATTTGAAGGACCCTGTTTTATAAAGTAGAGGTTCTAAGACCAGAGAAATGAAATATATTTGTTTGTCAATGAATATTAACCATTTACTCTGTGCCTGGCACTGTGCTAAGCATTGTGTAATAAAAGACAGCTTAAGCACTGTCATTACTACTGAATATTCAGTGTGTTCTTACTGCTGAGTGGAGAATTGAATCTTAAATTTTGACTGTAGTAGATGAAAACCCTTTTATGTTTCTACTTGGAGGAGTATGGCAGAAGAGGCTGTTTGAGGAAGGTACTTTCTTTAGCAACCACCAGGTGTCAGCAGAGGACTTAGAACTCTTGATAACCGGTTGTCTTTCTAAGGCCATTTCCATTGGAACTTTTCAAAGGCAGTAAGCCTCCTCTAGGCCGCTATCTCCCAAATATTAGTGTAAACCTTTTCTCCTCAAGCTTGTATCACATCCATTCACGTTCACCTTATAAAACTTGCATTAATTCCTTAGTCTCCTTCTGATTTAAAGCTTTTAATTATTTAGTGGTGATGTTTCTACAAAGTAGAAAGGCTACTGGGGGTGGAGGTAAGGGAGTGTCACCAAACTCTTGTTATTTTCACTGAACCCTTCCCCCAAAATAGGTGGAGCCACTCTCACCTGATATGGGGAAAGACTCAGGGTCCATTCTTTTTCCTGCATAGAGGAACAATCTGACGGTGGAGCTTGATGGCTCCAAAGTGAAGAAGGAGTTTTCAGAGTATGAAGGAGAGAGGCCTTGGCATCTTCACTTGTTCAGCTGTTTGGTTCCTGATGTAGACTGTATCTGATAGTGTTAACTCACAGACGTCATGGAACAGTAAACAGTGTGTTGATTAACAGGGGAAATGGTGAGGTGGGTATTGATTTGTATCATACTGGTTTTCTCCAGTTTCTCATCTAGCCTCCTCACTTGAATGGGCAGCCTGGATGGGGAACTGAGGCATTTGGTACAGGACATTGGGTTATAGTGTGGGAGCAAACTGAGGAAGAGCTCCCTTGGATGCCCAGACTTTGAGCCTCATAAGGTGTCAGAAATGGCAGCAGTTAGAAGGCTGTTAGTATGAATAAGTTGCTAAGCTACTGATAAACTGAAGGAAAGACCAGCTAGGGAGATAGAGACATAGTCAACTACTGCTTGGCTTTAGTAACTAAACCTGCAGGAGATGGAGAGTAAGGCATAGCAGGCAGCCCCAAGTCTATCTTCTGAAGTAAGGGCCCGATTGACCCAAGGTTCTTGAGTTTAGACATGCTGTGTGGATTTCTTTTGGCCTGATCAGTGGGGTTTGAGAAATTGCATTACCTCTAATTCCAGGAGTTATTTGGATTCTTCTGTTATTTTATACAAAATAAAGTATCAGAAATTAGTCAGGGACTCAATAGGCATTCAAAAATATTTTGAATGTTTTGCTTTAGTAGAGCTTTTATGAAAATAGTAAAAAAAATCACCTTGTTCCTTAAAACATGTGAGATGTCCTTAAAATATACTATGTAAATATGTATATCATTGAGGAGGATGCCTGACATTCCTACTTGGATTATATCCTGCTCAGCGTCATGGAGCAGCTTCAGACCAGACCTGGAAAGTCTTTGAGAACTGTATTAGGGTGTGCTTTTTAAGCAGCTTATGAAGTTCATTGTTGGCTTCACTTCTGATTAATATAGTAACTGCCTATGGGATTGTGTAAGACAGAGATCTAATTGTACAAAATCGAAGTGTATTTGCTCCATGATGGCTTTAGTTAATGGTCTTCAACATTTTCTCATGACTTTAAGGAATCTTACAGCAATTGTGAATTTGCTCATGGAAACTAGACTCCTCAGATTGAGGCCAAATTGCTTTGTGTTGATTGTCACCTCTCTCAGCAGCAGTTTCACACTCCCTTCTCCTCCCTCCTCTCCCTCTTTTTAGATCACTGGGGTGATCCTGCTAGCCGTTGGAGTCTGGGGCAAACTCACTCTGGGCACCTATATCTCCCTCATTGCTGAGAACTCCACAAATGCTCCCTATGTCCTCATTGGAACTGGCACCACTATTGTTGTTTTTGGCCTCTTTGGATGCTTTGCTACATGCCGTGGTAGCCCGTGGATGTTGAAACTGGTGAGTACATACAACATCCTACTGCTTTTCAATTCCTTTTTGTAAAAATATAAATCACATGAAAGCAAAGTGGCCCTTCTTGAAGCCACAGACAAGCCCTCAATATTCATTGACTCTAATTTTAGTCCAGACTCTTACATAATCCACCCTTTAATCCCCTAGAGGGAAAAACAACCCGAAACACAGCCTGGCACAAAAAATCCAGTCCTGGTCCCCTGAGGTAAGTGATGAGAAAGCAGTGACCAGCAGTTCCAATAGGCCATTTATATCCTCGTGGCAAGACGCCCTGTTCCAGTTTTGAATTTTGTCTTAGAAATCTCTTCAAGCATGCGATGTGCAGCTTTGGTGGCAAGGCAGCATCCCAAACATAGGCAGCCTTTCATCTCCAAGTTCCCATTGGAGAAATACTTTCTGCCTCCTTGAGTGTGGCCATGGATGCATGGGCCAAGTACTCTTCTGCAAACTTGCACACCCTGGTTCAGTTCTATGGGAGTTGAGCTAAACCAGAGCTTCTCTCAACAGAGGGTTGATACAGTGCCAAGTACTGGCTACCAGGACCAGTGCTGGGTACCTTTGAAGACACATCAGTGATATTTCCCAAAGAGTAAGACCAGGCTGCTAAAACGTTGTTACTGTGATTCTTAACTTTTTGGTAGACTACTTGCCTAAGTCTCTACTCACTACTCATGTTCTTCATTAATAAGAATTAATGTTAAAGGATTTTATAAATAAAACGTAGCAAGGGCCTCTCCTCAAAGGAAAATTTTATTTAAAATCATTTATTATGGACATTTCATTCTGTGAAAGGGGGAAGCAGAGATTCTATAAGTAGTTTGTTGCCTATCTTTCCTCATTTAGCTATAGGCTGTAGTAACATTTAATGTCATCTAGTGACAGGTATGGGTGTGAGGGTAAGTCACTCTAAAGGAACCACCTTCCAAACTGGCACAGGTCAGTTCCTTTATTGATAACCTCATGGAAGTCATGCTTGATTTGGCCACTTTCTCTCCTGCAGACCATTCAGGAGACATGCCCTGGCCACCACCAATTCTTTCGTGTTGGTGACCCATACTGACCCATATTGAGGCATTTCTGCCTCTGTCAGCTGCTACTCTATGCCAGTACCCTGAGTTTTCCTTCTTATAGTTCTTACAAACACTAGGGTTTCTTGTAGTCTAGTGTAGTAGTCCTCAAATTTGGATGCATGTTTAAATCACTTGGGCAGCTTTTTAAAAACACCTTTTCCAAGGCCCTACCTCCAGCCAATTGAAACAAAATCTACGGAGGGAGGCCCTGACATCACATTTTCTAAAAAGCTTTCCAGGGGATCCTATTGTATAGCCAGCATCCAGAACCTCTTGTTTAGTATGAGTAACAAGGAGAAAATTAACTTCAGATGCATAGAAAGGAAGGATTGCTAAAAATACATCTGTCCAAATAAGGATCAAGGAGACCTAGTCATGACACTTGACTGATTCTGACACTAAATGGCTTACGTCTTTAGTGGCAAGGATGTAACCATTGGGGCCTTTGTCCTCATTTATGAAAGAATAGTATTGAACTAAATCACCAAACTTTCTTCCAAACCAAATACTTTGGCTGAAGAGAGGTAGAAGAGGGGATACAGCAATGCAATAGTTGTCTCTGGTCTCTTCCGAAGGCAGTTTCATACCACACTGCCATTTTCTTCTAATACTTGTGAACACATTAGCAAGTGAGCCTTTTGAGGAATACAGAAGTTTTTCTCACCTTTTAAAAACTATCATTTAGTTACTTTTACCTGCCAGGTGCTGCCCTGGGTGCATACTACATTTTAGTTATTCCTCACCATCACCGTGAAGTATAGGTTGTATTTTCATGTCAAGGCTCACATAGCTAATATGCGGAGAGCTAGGACTGAAACCCATATATGTCTCTTTCTAGAGCCAGGGTGGTTTTTACTATGGTGTTTTCGTTTGGAGAAAACTACCACCCTACCACTTGTATTTAACACAAGCTCTTCCCAGTAGACTTTTAGCCAAGGTCTTGAGAAAAAGGAGTTATTCTCTGGAAGGTTCTGGAAGCAGGGAACTTCCCAAAGCAGGAAATTGCTGATCTTGCTAACAAGAGAGGAAGTCACTTGATTGTCAGTCTAGAATTATACAGTCCTCATTTAACCTCATTAATTGCAAAGCAACTGAAAGTAACTATTTTCACTTTATGGAGGCCTTGGGATGTTTCCTCTTTCCTAAGGGTTTGTCCCAGAAAGGCTCTGGCTCAAGCCTAGAAGGACTTCTGGTAGAGTCTAGGCCTGGTGTGAGACTCCACCTGAAATAAAGTGTGCTTTTAATTGAAATTTGTACCAAGGTGAGAGACAGAGAGAAGTTGTAGACATGGGACATTCTACTCATAAATGTGTGTTTGATATTTTAGTGGCCATGAGTTAAGTGTGTGTACAGACCTTTGTTAACATTTCAAATGAAACTGGCATTTTAAGCCAGTATTTCTTCCTTTTAATATGTGTACCAGTAGCTAAGGAAAATAATTTATGATCCTCTGTATATATATATATACTTTACAGGACATGTGTACACTTTATGAATAAGTCATATGACCATATTCAGTCTATCTAAATTCCACAGCATCATCTAGGGGAATTCCAAACATTGAGGACTTTTGTCTTTTATTTTGAGATGAGAAGAAGCAGACTGAAAGACATATGCCTTGTAGGAAAGAAATAAATTCCCTTTCCTTTTATCTGCTTTTCAAAGTCACAAAAATGGAAACCCTTAATGTCTCTTAAGTATCATGTAATATCCCTGAACTTAGGCATGTACCTGCACACACATCCAAAATCAACTTGGAACATACAGAAAGCATGAAGTGAGCAAAAAACACTAAGGATTTCAGGTACCTGCAAACATTGTTAGTAATGTAGCATATTTGCTTTTTAAAAAACTATCAACTCCATGTAATGTGTAGAACAAGAATAGTAAATAGCCCACTGGCCACTGCTGTGGATGCTGCATTCAGGCCTGACCACCACATTGAGGAAGGAGGTCAATCCGGGCACATACTAATCTTTCTGTGAGGATTAGAAGGATACCATTCCAAGGGAAGCCATTTCATATGACATGATTAAGGAAACTGAGGGGTTTGCCTGAATGGAGAGAAGCAGCAAGATCGCACCATGGCTGTATATGCACATATGAAAGCCTGCTGTATAGAAGAGAAGTTGGGCTGGTTCTTTATATCTCCTGAAAGCAGATCCAACACCAGCAAATGGAAGTTAGAAGTAGGCAGACTGTGGCCAAGGGGAAGGAAGCCTTTCCAGCAATTGAAACAGTTTGAAGACTGAATGAGCTGCAAGGGCTAGGTGAGTAGAGCTGAGCTTGCAGATGCCAGATGAAGGGTGCACACAGATTCTAGATGACCATAAGGAGGAAGGTGGTATGAAGGACTCCCAGACATGGTGGAACTGTGTCCTGTGACCTCCAGAGCACTTCTAGCTCAAGGATTCCAATATTAATAATAGCAAATACTTTAGTTGTAAAAACCCACCCAGATTTCTCCTGGTCAAGCCAAACTGAAAGGCATGATACTAGTCCTTGGATGAGCTCTCCTCAGTATGTCTGCCCCAAAATGCTTCCTCATATTAAACAGACACCTTCCTGTATTGAGGTTCATGTGGGTAAGTCTGGAGAAGAGTATTTTTAAACTTTGTCTAGGGAATAGGGGGATTTGTCTAATTCTCCATGACAAGAAGTAACCTACCCCAAAGGAACACTCTTCTTCATGTTGACATATTTGACTTTGTCCTTGTCCACTTGATTTTCAGTATGCCATGTTTCTGTCTCTGGTGTTCCTGGCTGAGCTCGTAGCTGGCATTTCAGGGTTTGTGTTTCGCCATGAGGTGAGTATACACAAAGTGGAGCACTCAGTTAAAGGATCTTTGGGAGGGGGAAAATTGAAACCTCTTGAACTGTGTAAAGGGCACATATAGGTTAGCTGGCATCTCCAGTGGTATTGCTATTTTCCAAATGTCACATTATATGGGCTGGAATGCCAATAAATTTCTAAATGCAGGAATTTTGTCAAACTTCAGAACTTAGTTGTTGATCCTCACTCTATTTTTTTTTATATAGCTATTACATACAATGATTCTCCACCTGGTAGTAAAGAAGTAACCTTCAATATAGATTAAATATTCCTTTCAAAATAGCCACTTCAGCAAGGTGCAAATATACCTATATAACAGGATTTCTAAGACTGAAAGCAAACCAAACTAGTTGTGGCTCAAAGGCAAAGTGCTAGATTTTCCCAAAGCAGCCTGTGCTCTTTTCTCAACTCCCCCAGGGACCCTGGGAGCCACCCCTGCCACCTGGGGATATGATCTATGCCCAGTAGTGAGGAGCCCTGCTGCTTTGTTTGGCAATGAAAGAAAAGAACAGAAGACAGTCATGACCCAAAACTTCTATAGCTCTTTGTTTTTCATTTACGTGTAAAATTTTAGATCTCTAAAGCTGGCGAAAATAATTTTGAACACTATTTTCTGATCCTAACTTCTAGTTTTGAGGGCACTGTTGGCTCTACTGTGTCATATGTGGCCATCCTTCCATGTACTGTCACTGTAGCTGCTCTAGACAATGGATAGATGATAATGCAGACACAAGACATTCTCAGACTGCTTGTGGCCACCATGGTATTACTTCTCAGATGTGTATATTGATGATAGGTTAGAAAGTGTATACTCTACGATGAAGTTCTGGTTCCAACTCTAAAATTAAAAAAAAAAATCCATTATTATAAATCAATTATTGTCCACTGTAAATAGCAGTAAAACCAGAAGTAGATATGCATGTGTTAGAAAGGGACAGCATAGCAAAATACAGGTAGAAAACATCCTGAAGTACTATTCCTATGGCTCTTGGAAGGCTGGCATCATCTATTCCAGGTCCTGCTTTTGGGATCAGCGAAGTTCCCACTGAACCTGCTTTGTGCACTTTCTGCCCTGCTTCCCTTTTGCCCTGGTTTTTCCCCTTACCAGAGTTGGTATCTCAAGGCTAATTTCTAGGACCCATTTCATATGTGCACTGCATCTGGAATTAGATGCCCCATTCTTATTATCAGGTGAGGTAAAATCTGATGACATCACAGCTCGACAGCCCTAAAGGTGTCCCCAATGCATGTGTGAACACCAGAGACAGCCTGGCCGGCTCCTACCTTAGCCCTTGCTCACCTTCCTCCCATGTACTGCTCTGACTGTGCTCCATGTACTGGATTTTCTCTTAAAACCTGACACCTAAAACTTGCACATCCTTATTGCCTAACCTCTTTTCATCTGAAACACTTAGGGGACTGGTGAGTAAGGGTTGCAATGTCACTTTGTGTCCACCAGTACTGTTTTTGACTTTGTCTAAACAATCAAACACACATGGTGACAACAGGTGACATTTTGTACCATTCAATCACAAGGACATAGGAAAGGAGCACAGCTTGCCAGCAGGGCAGCAACAGGTTTGTTTTGGCAGCGAGAGTCTTGAAAGTAGTCCAGGGTCCATTCTGTGGACCCTAAGAGACAACACAGGTGGAAGTGAGAGGACACAGCTGGGTGTGGTAGCCACCTTGACTTAAGAGCTCCATATAACCAGTGTCTCTTTATCTCTTATAACTGTTCCATGGGCATAGCCTCTAGTATCTCTTCAAGGGACATGTGTAGTTAGGAGAGTCCCATACTTAATCTTAAACTTCCCACCAGGTAATATTTACTGCCTTCCCAGTTCAGAGTAACTTCACCAGTCAGGGGCAGTTTTAGTGTAAGTGGGGTTGCATGGTAACACATCTGACACTCCTCCTTCAGCAGGTTTCTAGGGGAAGAGAACTTGAAAGTTAACCCAAGATCAAATGTGTTCACAGATGGGTAGAAAGGATTTTGTTAACCATTTATTAACAATAAAAATTCATATTCATTAGCCTCTTTTTTGGCCTCAGTAGGACAGATAAGTGAAAGTTGGTTTTGCCCCACTCCTATATGCTAGAATAGGGATCTGTTTCTGGCTAAAACATCAGTCTTACTGCTCCCCAATGGCCAGTCCTTGGTCATTCTTCTGAGTGAGGACAGGAAAAGTTATAGCAAGAAAGATGGGCATTAATCAATTCAAAGAAAATAGCTAGGAAATCCACTTCTGAAGTTTGGCAGCTCACCATCACAGCCCTTTTAGAAACCGACCAGCCACTTCAATGGGTCATTTAACAAGGTGGGCTTTTTCTGAATTAGGGACAAGGAAAACAATTCCTTTTGAATTCCTGAGCTAATAAACTACTTGGCAAATTTTCTGAGCTCTTTTGTCTCAGAAAACAGGGCATTCAAATTTCTGGCCTAAATTTAATCAGAGACTTTTAGAAGAGGCTATTTTGAGGTAGAAGTTGGTAAGAATCTGAGCTGATTTGGGCTGTGGTGAACCAGGACCCTGTTCCTCCTGCTCTTCCACAGATTAAGGACACCTTCCTGAGGACTTACACGGATGCCATGCAGAATTACAATGGCAATGATGAGAGGAGCCGGGCAGTGGACCATGTGCAGCGCAGCGTAAGTTCCAGGGAAGGAGCTCGAGCTGGAGACTGCCTGTGAGGTCTGGCCTTAGACTTGTGTACTGCTGTGGACTCCCTTTCTCCAACTTTTGGTCCCATTCCATTCTCAAGGGTTGACATCCAGTATTGGTCCAGGGTCCACTTATCCAGGTATTTAGTGTCAAGAAGCATTGCTGTCTCTAGTTTGCTTTTTGTAAGCAAGGATTGTGAGCAAGTTTGCCCTTCAAGTCTGAAGTCTTGGAAAGGATATAGGCAGTGAGTGTATGATAGGCTTGCTTAGAGTTGGCTCCCAAAGCTTGGCATTCTGGAAATGGTGTCTTTAGTGTAGGTAAAGAACTCAAGTAAACTGCCTTCACTGGCTTGCACTGTGTAGTGGGGATGGAGAGTAGACCATCTGAGGGTCCACCGAGGGTCTGTCAGGTGTGTGTGTCCAAGGCTGCCTGATGGTTTACAAAAGATATGAGGAAAATAGAAGTTTCCTGCCTAGAGGCACTCAAGAGGCAGGGGCTAGTGCTGAAGCCTCATGCCTATCAGGATCACCTAGGGACGTTGTTGATTTTGGGGCACTTTTGGCTTTGTTTTACATCGCAAGCAATATTTTAATTTGGGAGGTAATTCATTTTGATAAAATTTCAAATTTATCAAGAAAAATTGCAAGAATAGTACAAGGAATTATATACCTTTTACTCATATTCACTAATTAATTATATTTTTACCCCATTTGCTTTAATATCCTCTATTTCAGCAGTTAGCAAATATTTTTTATAAAGGGCCAGATAGTAACTATTTGAAGCTTGAGGGCAATGCAGTCTCTTATAACTATTCAACTCTGCCTCTGTCGCACAGCAGCCATCATAGACAACGAGGACAAGAAGGCCTGGCTGTGTCACAATAAAACTTGATTTACAAAACCAGGCAGCTGGTGGGCTACAGTTTACCAACACCAGCTCTCTTTCTTCTTCTATGTGCATCTTTTTCTCCCCTAAAACATTTACTTACTTATTAGTATAGATTCTTTGAAGATTAAGATTAAGTTGATCTATGTATGTACATCTATACCTTTAACAGCACCCAGATCATACAGGTGATTTTGATGCCTAGCCAGACCACTGCTTTACTTTAAGGAGGTCATACAAAAGCCCACACAACCTGTCATCTAGGACTAACTTCCTTCCCTGAGTTCAAATTGGTGTCACAGTGAGAATAATTGTTAGTGGAGCTTCAGTTCATCTGTACTTACCAAAGCTGTGTCTGTTGACTCAGAGGCATGGCCTGTGTTTCTCCTTAAAAAGTTGTAAGACAGTGAGTGAGGAGACTACACAGTCTTTGATCTGCCACACTTTGATTCTTTTCCTTTCCCTGTTAACAGCTGAGCTGCTGTGGTGTGCAGAACTACACCAACTGGAGCACCAGCTCCTACTTCCCAGAGCATGGCATCCCCCCGAGTTGCTGCATGAATGACACCGATTGCAATCCCCAGGATCTGCACAATCTGACCGTGGCTGCCACAAAAGTTAACCAGAAGGTACTTGCTTTCTTTCAGTCCTGATGGGATCAGTGGTGAATGTTTGGGGAGGGCTTTTTTGTTTCAGTGAGATTATGGTAAGTAGGTTAGAAATGGCAGTCTAGGAAAGAATCAAGAATATTCCTTTGTGGTCCTTTATTGCCTGGGAGAGGCCCTTGAGGCTGCCCACTTCTAAGGAGAAAGCTGTGACTCAGCTCAGCCTAGCATTCCTCTCTCAGCAAAACTCTACCAGGCATAGTTACAAAGTGTTAGCAAGTGGTTTCTGTTAACCCTGATGCTTATGTCAGACAGGGAATGCTGGCTTTCTTCTTTCTGGGTGTCTTTCTTCTGCTTAATATATCTTCTAAACATGAAATTATTCACAGCTGGGTGTCAGGCCTTAGCAAGAAGGGGGAGTACAGTTGACAGACAGCATGTGCTTCTGCTAGGAGGGTGGCCTTTATTTTAGGGAGTTCACTGCTATAGGAAAAGAAATCAACAATTCCAATTCAACTCACTGTCAACATACTGTCTCCAAAAGAAATTAGAGAGGGGAAAAATCTGGCTAAAAGATATTTGAAAGTTAGTACATAGAGGAATTAAGAAATATAAAATTTCAGTAGTCAGAGAAAAGGAATATCAATTCTGTATTCCACTTTACAGAGAATATTTTGAAGACATGATACAAGTGCATGTGAAGGCTATCTATATTCTTAAATGTTTAGATAAATGCCAGATAGAAAATGTATTTTGGTAAACAAGAGGGAGAATAAAACCGTACTATAGAATTTATCTGTTGTTATGTGGACATCAGGTAAATTTTCTTTTCTTAGTAAGATAAAATTCTGTTCTTCAAAATGTTATGTGGCCTGGGCCAACTACTGAATAACTCATAGAAGATAGGCATTCTTTCAAGATTGGAATGCTAAGACATTCGTTTCTGTACTTTACTCATTTAATGTTGGTATTTATAGCATAAACACTGCAACACATAATTGCTATTTTGTCTAGAAGCTCATTTTGTCATGCTGGGCTTATGACTTTGCTATTGGAGTGGGACAGTAAGATGTTCAGTACTGACAGCCTCTTGCCTTGAATGAGAGGACATCTATTCCTACTAGAATTTTCTTATGAACCCAAAGTTTGAAGCCCATTTGCCTCTCATCGGTAAGGTAACTTCTGCTTTCTCCATGGACATGTCTGCTAAGCACTCATGCATGTCAGTGTGCTGCCAATTTATGAAGTGTCAAGCTTACTTAGCACATGGTAAACACTCCAATTTTATAAAAGGCAAGAAGTACTTTATGGCAGGGAGATATTGGCATACCAGAGCCTCAGATCATTTGTAGAAGCAGCAACCCTCAACCTTTGATAAAAGTCTCCTTTTACACCCAAACTTCCTCTTCTTTTGTGAAAGTTTAGGGTCTAGAAGTCCAGAAAACAGCGTATAGAGTCAGATTCCAGTTTAAATTCTGGCTCAGCCACTAGCTGGTCATGCAAAGTTGATCAAATTACTTAACCCTTCTCAGTCTTGTTTTTTTCTCATCTGTAAAGTGGAGATAATAGCTCTTACCCTTAGGATTGATAAGAGGATTGAATGAAATAAAGTATCTAAAGCATGGTGCCTGGCACAGAGCAAGGACACAATAAATGCTAACTGTAACATTAAATGTTATCTATAATGTAAATGTCATGACAATGATGGTGAAGTTTGCTTCTACTCCACCACACTGTGGCTTCTGTTAGAAAGGATGTAGCTAGTCCTTGTAGGAAGGATCTTTTGTTAGTATTCAGAAGCAAATGTAGAGATTTTTCCTGTAGTGCATCTCTATAGTCTTTACAGTTATTCCCAGAAAGAAGGATAAGATAGCATTTTCTTCTTTTCATTGATAAACTACAAATATACCTTACTCCCTCCCCACCTCCCTCCATAATCCTACTTTACATCTTCCTGATCACCTTAAATTCTCTTTCACTTTCCTTATTGTCTTCAGTGTGGCTCCCTGAGAGGAGAAAAAGTAAGTGGAAACTGAAATTTGTCTACTGAGCTTCATTAGATATTCTCATTTAATGTTCACATGAACCTCTGAGACAAATTACTTCTTAGGTCAGAGTCTCAGAGGCCTCATCTATAAAAGGTGGGAGAGTGGGATGGGATGGAGATAGTAATAGTAGATGCTCACAGAGCTTAGTCCCCCTCCCCTCTCTTGACTCTCTTCCCGAGGAGGCTTAATTACTATTACAATCTAGTAATATGGAACCCTATTATATAGAATAAATGAATTATAAATCCCTGTACACCTTTGGTATCTTGAACCCTATGTTCTTTTTTTTTTCATGTCTTAAAGCTTTCTCTATATTCTGAAACATCCAAAGTAAACATAAATTTTACCTCAGTAAGACTTGACGCATGATGTCCATTTTTTTAATTTATTTTTTCAAATGCATTTCTCTGCCTACCCCCCACCACTTTCCCTTGCCCCCTCCCTCCTTCCCTCCCTCAGCTCTTCCCCTTTGGTTTTGTCCATGAGTCCTTGCTATATGTTCCTTGACTTTCCCCTTCCCTTCCTTTTCCCCACCCCCCCTCCTTCCCTCTTGTCTCTGTTGATTTCTTTTCTTTTCAGTGTTGCTGGTCTTATTCTCCTTGCATCTTTGTATTGTTGGTTAGGTTCCACTTATAGGTGAGATCATATGGTATTTGTCTTTCGCTCCCTGGCTTATTTCGCTTAGTATAATGCTCTCCAGTTCCATCCATGCTGTCGCGAAGTGTAGTAGTTCTTTTTTTTTTCTGCTGCGCAGTATTCCATTGTGTAAATGTACCACAATTTTTTGATCCAATCATCTACTGATGGGCATTTAAGTTGCTTCCGACACTTGGCTATTGTCAATTGTGCTGCTATGAACATTGGGGTGCATAGGTTCTTTTGTATTGGCGTTTTGGTATTCTTAGGGTATAGTCCCAGTAGGGGAATCACTGGATCAAAAGGCAGTTCCATTTTCAGCTTTTTGAGGAAATTCCACACTGCTTTCCACAGTGGCTGCACCAGTCTGCATTCCCACCAACAGTGTACTAGTTGAACCCTATGTTCTGAAAGCACAGAAAGATGACTCTGAGCTTTTATCCTGCAGCCTAAGAAACCTACCGTGAACATATAACTGGGAGAGAGCAGAAAGGATGTGAGAACAGTTAAGCAGGATATTTATTGTTTTGTTTGGGGAACAGATTTTATTTTGGTTCTGTTAGAAGGATGATGAAATGGCTGCAGATTCATTGGCCAATAGCATTGACTGAGTTCCTCCTCCATAGGAATTCCTTAGCATTTTTTTAAGAGCAAGGGCAAGAGGAAGAGACAGTTATTCTTGTTGGCAGCTACCGAGATACTGCTTCCCAGAACCTGTCTGGGACTAACCATCTACTCCCAATATTGAAAATCTGCCACTTACAGATGTTTTCCATTGGTGACTATATTGATTTAGACATGCTGAGAGAGTTAGCAAATTACCTGTTCTGTTTCTGGGTGTTTCCTAGGACACTTAGCAGGCTGCTATAGGTTTGTCTCACACCTGACAACCAGGCTTTCATTTTAGGAAATTGAAAGAGATTGTTGTGGGCAATAAGATCATGGTTTAGTGGAGAACTTTCGGTGGAATGCAAACATGACCTGTGGTTGTTGTATCAAAGCAGTTCCTGTAGTGTGCAGACGTATGCTGAGACCTGGAAAATGGACTTGTGGGTCCACATGGCAAACAATACAGCTAAAAATGGAGATGTAAAACATTTATTTCAACCTTGATCTTATATTACTTAAACAACAAGGAAGCTCAATTAACTTCCATCTTCTCATTTTAAGTAACCTTCTTCCTGATATAATTCGATAATTTAATTTCTTATTTGGAATTTAAAAAAATAGTGGGGGAAATTTTCTTAGGGAGCAGTACTTCTTAAACTTTAACATGCATATGAAGCATATTGAGATATTAACATTCATTTAAAATGTATTCAAAACAAATAACCTAGGGATTTTGCAGATTCTAATTCAGCTGGTATGAAGTAGAGCCTAGAATCTGCATTTCTAACAAATTCGCAGGTGCTGCTACTCATGAAAAACCCCACTTTGAGGAACAATATTTAAAGAGAACAATGTCGCCAGAATTGAACTAATGCTACTCACCTTCTTCATTTTTCTGATTTCTCTTACTGGTTTGAGTGGGCTTATCAAAAATAATGTTGCTATTATGTTCATTTTTTGTTACTCCAAATATGATAACATGCAATAAATAAAATGGCATGCCAGTTCATTCCAAATAATGTGCTAAACAACAACAACAAAATAATAATAATGTTGCTGACAGAAGTCTCCTAAAATGGGTTGGAAATCATACTTCAGAAATGCATATTCAACTTACATGTAGAATTGGAGTTCATAGGAAAGAAAAGTCAGTCCCAAATTATTTTGCAGAGTAAGATGACACACTCCACTTCTCTCTTGTTTTTATTATTGAGTTTGTGTTTCCATATTTTGAGCCGAAATAACACCCATGCTTGTCTGAATTTCATTCCTCTGCCTGACCATCAACCACCACTGTGGGGAGAAGATACAGTAATGATGGCCAGCGCAACAAAACATTATCTTAGTTCCTACCATTTGGGAAAGAGTTAGAATCGTCACCTCCATTCTCACTTTGAATTTTTCCTAGTCAAAACTGCTCTCCCTTTCACTGTCTTTTGAAAAATGGCATGATATATAGTTTCACTAGTAAAAATGAAATCAGCAAGCAAGCATCTACTATAAAGAGAGGATCTAATTTCAAAACTCCCCATGGCAATAATGTATTTCCTTTCCCACCCCTTCCCTGGCCTTCTAATTTATGTCAGGTAACTAAGGAGTATAGTTTGTCCATTGCATTGAAAACATGTGTCAAAGCATTATTGCTAAGCTAATGCATCTTTTTCTTTGCAAACAGACTGTGAATGCATAAAATACCACTTATTAGAAGGTACAGCATTGGCAGAATTTTTACAAGCTATGAGAAATGTTAAATTGTTAAATTTTGAATTTAAAAAGGGGAGACATGTTTTGGTTCTTTATATGTTATGACAATTTAGTGTGCCTTTCATGATAAACAAGAGTTCCCTTTACTCTGTTATGGAATAATGTCTTGATTTTTCACAGACTTTACACATTCAAGTTGAAGGTCTTTTTCAGAAAACTGAAAAACAACCACATCTTCCAAAAAGCTGAATATATCAGAAGTCTAAGTTGATTTCTCCCAGTTCCAAAATGAGTATACATATACATTCATTCTCATTCTCTCCCTCCCTCTCTTTCTTTCTTCCTCCTTCTCTCCCTGTCTCTCCCCGCTCCCTCTCTGTTCTTCTCTTGGTCTCTCCCTCCTACTTCTTCCTCCCTCTCCCCTCTGCTGTTTCACATGTGGGACTTTTATCAGGAAGAATGAGTTTTTGACTTTGCATTACTGGTGATGTACAAAGTTTGGTGTTCCCTACCGGTACTAGATTGATAAAGTGTAATCCCAAATAACAGAAAAAAACTTGTTTAGCAACATTTTGAACTCCAACCAGATCATCTATTTTAAAGAAAGGTGGTTAAGTTTTAAAGAAACATTGAAATTGGCAAAATTGGTGTTAGTTTTAATCATAACATTTAGAGATTTCATAATATATTAAAGGAAAATTTCCTTCATTTTATGGATAAGGTGTTGACATCCAGAAAGGAGAAGTGACTTGTTCAACATGGGAAAGACTCTGGAATGTAGATTTTTTTTCCTTATTTAAAAAAAAAAACAACAAACTTAATAGTCTCCTTTGGAAGAACCCTAAAGTGCCATAAAGTTGGCAGGCATTCAAACACATCCTTCTGACCAGATGATTTCACTTTATCCAAGGTTTCACCATTTGTTGTCAAAATGCTATTACTGTGATTATGATGCTGAGTCTTTCTGTTCAAGGATGTAGAATGCATTTTCATCTGTCCAAGTCTACTTCTCTATTTCTATAGTGTTTATTCATAGATCTTACTGATTTATTGCTAAATTTAATTCTACTACTGAAATATTTGTGGATGAGTAGACAGTTAATCTTTGAACAACAGGGGATTAATTGTGTGGGTTCACATGTATATGGATTTTTTTCCAATAAGTAACTGTACTTTTTTCGATCATGTCTGGGTGTCCATGGATGCAGAGTGCCAACTGTATGCATTGATCTATATGCCATTTTATATAGGGGATGTGGGCATCCTCAGATTTTGGTATCTGCAGGGGGTTCTGAAAATAATTCCCTGTAAATACCAAGGGACAACTTAAGTTTTAGAGGAGTCAAAAGTTATACATAGATTTTAACTATGCAGGCATTGGCGCCCCAAACACTGTGTTATTCAAGGGTGAACTGTATATATGTTGGATTTGCTTTAAAATAATCCAGCCAGGGGATGAGAGTTGGGGAGATTTAAATGAGAAAAGATTAGTCCTGTGTTGATTGTGATGTTAGAGGAAGGTTCACTTGGGGGTTCACTGTACTACTCTCTCTACTTTTCTTATATGTTGGAAATTTTCATTATATTTCTAAGTAAAAAAAGAATGCTGGTAAGTTCCTAGGGTGAGCTACAAAACTTAACAAAGTCTAGTCTGGCCTGGGTAAAACACATATCTGAGACTGCCTCTCTCTATATCCAGGGTTGTTATGATCTTGTGACCAGTTTCATGGAGACTAACATGGGAATCATCGCTGGAGTGGCTTTTGGAATTGCATTCTCCCAGGTAGCCTACATAATTGTGTGATTCAGTCAAGCTTTTCCCCTGTCCTGTTGTCCTTTCCCTCCCTTGTCTCCAGACTCTGCCTGCCTCCTTGTGCCTTGGGAAAGGCTGATAGATGGGGTCAGAGCTCCTTGCTCATTAGTCCTCAGGTCATCTGTTTATTGATTTTCCTTTTTCAACTTAAATGAAGTTTTGCCATCAAGGGAATATCAGTTACAGTTCAACTAATGACTAGCCCCAGAAAAACAACTTGCCTCTTCTGCAGGTCAAATAGAGGTTAACTGAACAAAACGCTGGCTTAATTGGAGCATAAACAACTCCAAACATCAAATGGCAGATCTGGATTTGGGGGGAAGCTTTTTTCCTGGTTGACCTATCCCTTTTCTGTTCTTAATTCCTATAGATTATGCATGAGATGTCTCCCTTAAAAAAAAAGTCTAAATTTAGCCAACTTTATTTTGTGATCATTATTTTAATTTCTAGGTTATACTGTTGTTTCTTAAGAGAAAACTGAATTTCTATATATTACATTTTATATTCCTTTATCTCTATCCAGCCTCTAAAAACTGTGGAAAGAGTAATTATGCAAACTAAGTGAACCATACATACTAAAGGATGGAACAAGATTAAGCTAAATCTAAAATTTTATCCACCTCCACCAGACAGTGTACTGTCCCACAGGCTTTTGGTGTCACTGCTAAATAATATAGTGTTGCTATAATATTGCTATGGGTACAAGGATTGGCATGTATACTTAACCAAATAAAAACTTTACATTTAACTTAGAATTTTTTCAGACCAACAGATGATTATTCTTCCAACAAAGCCTAATTATTGTTATCTCAGTAATGTGTCCACAGCTCTAATTTCACCTGTTTGAATTCTATATCGGCTCTCTCAGACTATAATTACTTCCCCCTGCCCCTCTGTATGGCTTTCTTTCCTGCTGAGCAATACAGATGCACTTTGATCTTATTCAAGTCTAAAACTTTTTATTAAAATATGGCATATGCAAAAAAGTACATAGGTTATAAGTATACAGTTTAATAAATTATCAGAAAATGAGTCTACCCATGTAACTGTCACTTATATCAAAGAATTGAACATTAGCCTGGTAGTTTTTGTAAACAGAAGACCTCACCTTAGATAAGTCAAAAACTTTTCTTCCAAGCATTTTCAAAAACCTGTGTGACATTTCATTTCACAAGAGCTTGTGGACTCAGACAACAAGGGTGTGTACTTCTTGAGGCAGTTCCAAAATTCTTTAACCATGAATTGAGTTAAACCTTAATACACACACACAGACAAACTAGAGTTGTGTCAGAAACAATGCCAATTAACTCAGTCTCCAGACATATTTCAGAGGAAATCGTTGCCCTAAACTTTCTTCTGGTTGCTATAATATTTCAGTAATAACATTTCAGTAACATATCTTTAATGGCCAGGGGACATTTTAGAAGATCCCAGACCTCATGTCCGATGCAGATGTGCAGGATGCACTTGACAGCTTGCACATACAGTTTGCTTTACAAATATATGTGCAGCGTCAGGTTCACATCCACCTACAAGACAGACTTATGCTGAGCATTTGAGAAGAACTGTCTCCTTGGAGGAGGGAATAGTGTTGAAGTCTCCCCTAATGGCTATCTTAGAACCATGGAGGGACATGATGCCAGTAGTCTGTGTGGGGAGAAGAGATCCTCAAAGAGCCTGGAATCTCATGGATGAAACATATTATCATCCAAGAGTATTCCCATGTGGCCATGAGAGGGTGGGGTGACAATCCTATTTTCATTAGTGAAGTGACCCAAGTCTTAAAAGAACCTGATTAATACCTCTCCCCCATTTTTTCTCCCATATCCCTGTGAGGGGATTTGTGCTTAGGCAAGTGGTTACCTGGCCTAGTGAAAGTTAATCTCTCTGTGATACCTTGCTGTGAAACATGGTTGAGAGGCAAAGAGAAATTAAAGCTGCCTTTACCCCTTCATTTCCCACCCCCAATGCCTGGCAAGCCATGACTTTATTACTTCTTCACTAGCAAACTCTCCTGGTCAAGAATAGTATCATATGGTCTTGAGGAAAAGAAGTCCCTCGTGTGGGAATTGGTGATTTTCTCTGTGGCCCTGTGAGGCAGTGAGAGAGAAGCTTTGGCTCCAATGAACCCCCAAACGGAAACTCTCTGCAGAGAGTTTAGGTCTCATAAGGTATCACAGAATCGGGATAAGAGAACAAAAACCCAAAGCCCATTGGCATTGCACAGTCAGTACCATTCACTCACATGGCAAGACAGGTACTGCAGGGAAGGCATTTGAGTTTTTTATGCTCAGCTTGGAGCAGGAATAGGAATAGCCATGGTTGTCTTTTATTAGCCAGATGTGCTAGGAACTGCAGCTTTTAATGGTGCCATCAGTCACAGGGTTCCTGTAGGGTGAAGTTGACTTCCAGATGCCAGGAGATCCAGGCCCTCTCTGGAACAACGTTGGCCACTTACCAGATGCCTATTCAAGAAGAACCAGCCATACTGACCCTGGTCAGTGACCTAGAACCAAAGCTTCAGCCACACATGTTCAAAAATTGTAGGATACATGTCACAGTAATACATAGCAGATATTGGCCAACGTCTTAGCCTTCGAATAATAAAGCAAGGTCTACTGTGTAGAGGCCACAAAGAGACCAAAGTATGTAGGAAAGAACAGAGTGCACGCTTTCTCTCCCCCTGCCCCCTGTGCCCCTCCCTCTCTCCACTTCTCCTCACCTGCCCTCCACCATCTCCTTGTCCATTTCCTCACTTTCTCTTGTGACCTCCACACTATGACTGTTGGAAAAAACTGGTTTTGCACATCTGTTGTCTCAGAAATTAAAAGTATTATAAAGTACAAATAAAACTAAGGTAAGCCTATCTTTTTCATAGACTCTGCAAGAACTTTGTCCCCATTACTTAATTCAGCTAACTGAAAGCAGTTGAGCTTTGTTTTTAGACAGCAGGGTTCTGGCAGGCCTTTAATACTTCTCTCCACAAACTCCTTCTGCCTTTGCCCTCAAAGAAAAACCCATTTGTCTAGACTTGAGGGGCAGGTCCTGCGGCCCTATAAATTTATAGCAGGACGTTGAACGTGTTTTCATAGGGTACCTCTTCTCTGCTTTTGAGGGGGTTACTCTTTTACTCAAGAAGGCTTGGGGAGACACACACCATGGGGGTTATTACCTCCCCTGCCCCTAACATGGCCTAAAAGTCAAGAGTGAGGGTGTCCAAGTCTGGACACTTGCATTACTCTATCTTCGACACTGCTTTGCACCGCTTTCCACCTTGGTTGGCCTTCTCCTGTGTGCACGCGTGCGCGCGCGCGCGCGTGTGCGTGTGCGTGTGTATGTGTGTGTGTGTGTGTGTGTGTGTGAGAGAGATTGGAGTCCTCTGAGACTGCATTTAGCACTTCTGTATCCAATGTAAATAGATATAGGGCTTTGCCAAACTTGGAACCTATTAGGCTGAATTAATCCACTATATCACCAAATACAGTTCTGAGTGGGGACAGTAGAACTATTTTGCAAAAGGGGAGGATTGAATGGCTTGCTTGAGGTTGGGCAGCTACTGTAGATGCACAGTTGCAATTCTGACTGCCTCACCTGGTCTGCTGTATTAAACATTCAGGCCAAAAATCACCCTTGTTCTTGCCTCAGGTAGCACCTAAAGAGAACTTATTCTGTGTCTTTATAATGAAAGGGTTTGAATTTGCGGAATTGGAGGGAATAAGTACTCATCAAAAAATACAGATCCTTCCCTGGCTGGTGTGGCTCAGTGGATTGAATGCCAGCCTGTGAACCAAAGGGTCACCAGTTTGATTCCCATTCAGAGCACATGCCTGGATTGTGGGGCAGGTCCTCAGTCGGGGGCACATGGGAGGCAACCACACATTGATGTTTCTCTTCCTCTCTTTCTCTCCTCCTTCTCCTCTCTGTAAAAATAAATAAATTTAAAAAAATACAGATCCTCATCCTACCCATTCATCCCCTGACCTTCACCAAAGTCTCCCCCAGGCCCCATGGGCTTCTGGAATGATTCGTCATTGGCTAGGATTTTTTTTTATGGTACTTGTTTATCTTTTCTGCGTAGAGGGCAGGACAAAGCTGTTGATAGCCAAATAAGGCTAGTGGAACTATTTACTCATTTCCTCCGTATTTTCAGGGCCTGGGATAGTCCCTGACAGCATTTATACAGTTTTATTTCAAACCAGATTTCTTGGCACTTCCCAAAATCATCAACATTTTATTTTGTTTCCCAGTTAAGTCATTAACATAAAATCTCCTCAGGCATTATAAGGGTCTAAATTTTTGATCCATTGTTTGTCACTTTCTTGTTAAGCCTTTCTTTCTTTATATCCTTGTTTTCTGTCCTCTCCCTACCCCTCAGGAGTCAGGGATTGGGCCACATTTGCCTCCCATGGTGATGGCAGAGGAAGACACTGATGCTCTGTCACATTTTATATCTCTTTTCTTTGTAAACATGGGCCCTACGTCTCTCTGAGCCCCTCTCTCCCACTTCCTTAAGTCCACCCTGTTACTGGTAATTTGCAGAACCTAGTTATGCAATCTGTGTTACTAGAGCTTTGTGTGACCCAGATCTCTCAGCTCTCTATGTGGGCAGTGCCTTGAGAAAGCCTCAGATAGGGTTCTCATAAGCAGAGGACCTTTCTTCTCTCTCTCCCCATCTCTGGCTTCTCAGTTGAAGAAGCAGGACCTCCCAGAGTATTTCACAACTCAAAGGAAAGTAGAATATGTACTGACAAGGCAAATAGTGGTAAAAATAGAATGTTACTTTAAAAAATTAGGTGGACACTAATTACAGTGTCTTTGTCAATCAAAGATAAATAATCTGGTCTAAAACTGCCTAGACTGTATAGGATTAGGCATTTTACTAGCCTCTGGAAGGATGAGTGGTAGCTTCTAGGTCTCCGTTCTGAGGAGTTTTCGGCATAAGAGACAAGCTCTCCTTTTCCTGTGTCCATCAAGGGTTTAAAGCAGAAGTTTGTCCAAATGCCCACATACTGCAGCCTTAATACTTATCAGCAATGTGCTTCTGAAGGGCATCCCAGCATCCCACAGAGCCTACATCTGCTGTCTTTGAGGTGCTTTTTACATATATTTAACCTAAATAAAGGTTTCATTTTTATAAGGATAGATCTTTCTGTCTACAGGTTAATTGGGCCTAGGGGCAAGTAAATGTTTTGTACTGCCTCAGACTGATGAAGAGGACATGACTTTAGGCTGAACAGGCTTTTTATTATGTATCTAGAAATAATCTGGTAATAATTGGTATTAAGTATAAGGTGCTCCCCATACCCCACTATCCCTTACTTATGGAAATGAGAAATCAAAGTTTTCTCTCAAACATGATGAAGAAACTATAGCAGACTTGAAATCGGTGACCCTGTGAATAGTTCAAAGCACCTACATATTCCAAATCCTAATTTTTCTTGCACTCGGAGAAACTAGAATAAAAGCCAATGTATGTAAAATGCTTTATTTCACATAGCTTATATGTATATGTGCCTCAGTTCAGGACATTTTTAGGAAAAACAATTTCATAGTAGATGTCGAAAAATTAGTTTTAAAAATCTATCTTCTTCCATGGGAAAACAGTGGAAGTAATGTTCTTGCCCCAGAAATACAAAATATAGTAAGTTTAAAAGCAAACAACTTTTATTATTACTTATATTTTTAAAGGTTGTTGCTTCTATGAGAATGTTATGATTTCCAGTGCTTAACAATGATGGTGGTCCTGTTTTGGGGGGAGAAAAAAAAAGATGTAGGGGCATACTATATTCCTTGAAAGCAGAGATTTTAGATACAAGAAATATTTAAGCATTTGACAGGATTTTATGGCTGCATGACTCATGGATTGCCATGGAGGCCAGGAGCACTGCAAACTGTGAAGTGGAATGGTGACTATTTTAAGTTGCTTGAAACACACATGAGGTCAATGAGAAACCTAAAGTGATAAGCTTTATAAAGAAAGGAGATTCTAGGAACTTAAAATTGAATAAAGAGATGTCCAGTGAAAACCCTTTCCCAGAAGTTTACAGTGTAAGGCAGGAAGGAACTCCTGGTGGTGTGAGAGACAGGATTTCTTATAGAATGGAAAACAGTCTAGGCTCAGGAGTGGGCCTGGGGAAAGAGGATATTCTTGACTAGGGGAAGAGGGTGGAACCTTCAATTCTGTGTGGGTTACTTGTGTGGTTTGGGGGAGATTCTTTAACCTTCCATGAACCCATTTTCTAATCTGGAAAATTGTGATGATAATATTGCACAGGGATGCAGTAAGGATTAAATAACTTGATATATCTAAATGTGCTATGTACCTCTAATACTGATTTGTTGACTAGAATCTGATTTTTGAGAGTATCAAGTGTGTTCTGGTATATGTTGGTCCTGGAAAATGACAGTTCTAATGCAAAACTGTAATATCCAAACTCCTTGAACTCATGGAGGGAATTTTAGTTTTTAATTTGGCATAATATCCTGGATGTTACAGCCATGGTTCCTTTGGCTTTTTGATGGTATATGCATGATAATATGTATTTTGTGGCACAAAATGATGTTGGTAAATCCAATAAGGTAGTGATTTTTTCCTTACCAGACACAGGGTATAGTTTGTACATTTCACAGCACATTTTTAATTTTAAAAAGGAAGGTAGGAATCAGGGATTTCAGCAATAAAGGTAGGCAGGTGAACTGGAACCTGCATGAGTGGGTGGAGAGCCAGAAGAACAGAGATCAGGTATTGCCCTGACTGAGAGTAGGACCCAGTTTGGCTGCAGGTGTTTCTCCTGTAAGATAAAGGTGACTAGATAGACTGAATGAGTGGTTCTCTCACCTGAAAGTCTTGTTAAAACACCAGTTGATGGCCCCTACCTACATAAAGTGTCTGATCCAGCAGGTCTGGAGTGGAGCCTGAGGATTAGCGTGTCTAACGTAGTCCCAGGTGATGCTGATCCTGCTGGTCTTCAGGCTACACTTGGAGTGACACTGTTCCACATTCTCTCTAAAGGTCATTACCACCTCTGATCCAATAAAACATGGCCAATTGCTTAAGGAGAAGGGACTCAATTTGGCTAAGAGAAGCTGCAGGCCTCCAGACTCAAGTGTACATTGGGCTCCTGTCCAAAATGTGCTGATCCTCCAGAGTCAGGAAAGAGAATTTTGGTTTCCGGGAGCCAAACAGATGTGCTTAAGAATGTTTTCATAGTGTCACAAGAGCTTTTACCAGATCCACCTATGCTACAGGTTAAGTCAAGGCACAAATACAGGTAAATGATTGAGGTCTTCTGAAGAGGTGGAAATATGCTGTTATTGGTTGTTCTGCGGCCCCTGAAAAGCTATGAGGTGGGCCTTAGACATAGATGGGCTCATTTAGGCATAAGATATCTACATGGTTGAGAGACAAAGAGAAATTAAAGCTGCCTTTACCCCTTCACTTCCCACCCCCAACGCCTAGCAAGCCATGACTTTATTACTTCTTCACTAGCAAACTCTCCTGGTCAAGAATAGTATCTTATGGTCTTGAGGAAAAAATTACTATTGGTCATTTGGGTATAGCTGGGGTATTATGCTATGTTTTTTAAAGTATATTTTATTGATTATGCTATTGCAGTTGTCCCAATTTTTCCCCTTTGCCCCCCTCTGCCCGGTATCCCCATTCCCTCCAGCAATCCCCCTGCTCTTAGTTCATGTCCATGGGTCTAAATAAGTCACATTTCTTGTAATAATGGCTTGGTGATGATGAATTCCTTTAGCTTTACCTTATCTGGGAAGCACTCTTATCCACCCTTCCATTCTAAATGATAGCTTTGTTGGATAGAGTAATTTTGGCTGTAAGTCCTTGCTTTTCATGATTTTGAATACTTCTTTTCAGCCCCTTCTTGCCTATAAGGTTTCTTTTGAGAAATCAGCTGACAGTCTTATGGGCACTCCTTTGTAGGTAACTGTCTGCTTTTCTTTTGCTGCTTTTACAATTCCCTCTTTATCTTTAATCTTTGTCTGTTTAATTATGATGTGTCTTGATGTATTCCTCTCTGGGTCCTGCTTATTTGGGATTCTCCGAACTTCCTGGACTTGCATGTCTAATTCCTTCACCAGATTGGGGAAGTTTTCCTTCATTATTTTTTCAAATAAGTTTTCAACTTCTTGCTCTTCCTCTTCTCCTTCTGGCACCCTTATGATTCGGATGTTGGCACTCCTAGAGATGTCCCAGAGTCTTCTTATACTGTCCTTGTTTTTTTTTTTTTTTTAATTCTTGTTTCTTCATTCTGTTCTGGTTGAATGTTTATTTCTTCCTTATGTTCCAAATCATTGATTTGAATCTTGGCCTCCTTCCATTCACTGTTGGTTTCCTGAGGATTTTTCTTCATTTCACTTAGTGTAGCCTTAATGTCTTCCCTTATGTTTTTGCGATACCCAGTGAGTTCTTTGAGCATCCTGATCACCAGTGTTTTGAACTATGCATCTGATAGGTTGGCTATCTCCGTTTCATTTAGTTCTTTTTCTGGGATTTTGATCTGTTATTTCATTTGGGCCATATTTCTTTGTCTCCTCAATTTGGCAGCCTACCTGTGATTGTTTATGTGTATTAGGTAGAGCTGCTTTGACTCCCTGTCTTAGTGCACTGGTTCAGTTGTATGGGGCAGAGCCTTAGGTATTCGTTAGGGTAGGGCAACCGGCTTCACCACTTTGTGGTACTGTGTGTAGCAGGGGGGTCGGAGAGAGGACAATGCTGCTGCCTGGTTTCTGGAGGCTGGCCCGGCACTTGCCCTGTTTCTAGTCACTTCCCCCACTTCCCATATGCAACTAGTGACCTTCTAGCTATTGCCCTAGTGGTGATTTCCAGAGTGGGTGGGTTTGCGTATGTTCCAAGTCTATGCAGGCCCCTTAAAAGGACTCTCCTGAGTAACCAGCAGTTTCTTCCACTGCCCCAACCCTCCACTGGTTTTTACAGCCAAAGGTTATGAGGCTTTGTCTTCCTGCACTGGAACCCTGGGCTGTGTAACCTGGTCTAGGGCTGGGATCACTCGCTCCCAAGGTATCTCTCCTGATTTTTATCCACCACATGTGAATGTGGGACTTCCCATTCCACTGCCACTGCCACCTCTTCATGCCACACCACATCCTTTCCACCCAGCTCCCCATCTCCATCCTTCCTACCCATCTGGATGAGTATGGTTTCTTTAAATCCTTGGTGGTTGGACTTCCATACATTTTGATTTTCTAGCAGTTCTGGGTGTTTTTGTTTTGAGGTCAGTTGTGATTCTTCTTGTGATTGTACAAGGAGATGAAGCATGTTCACCTATGCCTCTATCTTGACTGGGTAATTTGCTTTGTTGAGATATCTTCCAATGAATGTACTATGGTTTTGAATTGAATTTGAGCATTAAAAATATATCTAAATAATTCTGTGCTACTTTACTTTTTTCTATCACTCATATAACATATGAACACACTTTAATACTACTTATGTTTCAAAAGTTGTTTTTAAATGGACAGAGTGAGCTAGAACCCTATGGCCAGTTCAAGAACCTCCAGTTGTCCTCTACTGGCAGTTAAATCCCCTAAGTCTTAGATCCCACAACTGAAATTAGGTTTGATATTTTTCTCTAGTGTCCTTTCCCTATTCATGTACAAATGCCCCCAGCTGTTAAAAATTATATTTGGGGGGAGGTTCAAAGCAGGGTGTAGTTCAGTGACTTGAGATTCCCATTCTAATTTTTCTTTCTGGCAACAGCTCATTGGCATGCTGCTGGCCTGCTGTCTGTCCAGGTTCATCACGGCCAACCAATATGAAATGGTATAAGAAGAAGGTGAGTGGTGGTGAGGAGTGTTTAATTTCAGATTTCTCCCTTTGAGGTACATACGACCTTTCAAATGGCAAGAGTACTGCCCAGCCACTTAACTACCTGATCTTGGTGGCACTGATCCATGTGTCAAAACCTTATTTCTGTGGTGCGAGGGAGGAGATGTGATCATTACTATTATGGAAAATGTATAAATGCTCTTTTCAGCTTGTTACTTTATTTTAAATCTTTATTAATGGTGAGTCACTCACATGTTTTAATTTTTCTCTTAGTCTTTCAAGAACGACGGGATAAGAGACCTGATTTAAAAAGGAATGCAGCAATCCTTGAAAGACTTCCAAAGAATGTTAGAGCACAGTACATATTACACTTGCCCTGCTCCCACTAATACCCTACCCCATGTGCAACTGACACTCCCACACAGTCTCTACCCTGCCTTTCAGCCTAAATCATGTGTAGTGTTCCATTTGGTGAAGCCCTGTTGTGCCAGAGTATAGCCAGTTTCCCTGCATCTAGTCCTAGTGGGCCCCACCAGGGGCTCCTCCATCTGTACTTGTTCCAACTGCAGCTCATCGTAGGTGACTGGTTATCAAACATCACTGGACCCTGGGCCCTGCATGTAGTTTGGGAGGCTCCTGTTAACCTTTCATTATGATTGATAAATACCACACCCCTCGATGTAGATAAACAGCTATCTGTTATTTTGACTTAATCTTTGGTTTGGTTTTCCCTTTACTAAGCCTCTTTACTACCTTCTCCAGGCTGCCTAGGACATGTAAAGAGGTACCTCAGTAATTGTTCATGAGAAGGAGAAATCATGTCATATGCATAAAGGAAATTGTTGAGATTTAGGTGGCTTCCTTGCTTATTGTTACATGCCTGGGTATATATAGACAGTTTAGTGCACCTATGCCTGTCACTTGAAGCCTGTATTACAAAGCTGTATTGTTGCTTCCCATGAAGGAAATAATATTACTTCTGTTTCTCTCCAATTAATTGCTATTGTATCATTTTACTTCTTTCTATATTTTTTTCTTTGCATTGACATTACAGACATTGAAGACATCATCAAATAAAAAAATGAGTGTGAAGGGGGAACAAATATCAGAATATTTTTAAAAGATCTTAAAAAATAATGCCTCTAGCATGCCAACAAGAATGCATTGATATTGTGAACATTTGTGATACATGTATTAATAAATAGATTCATTACAAATTTCTGTGTTCTGGTTTTGTTCTTTGGTTATTTCATAAGTTTTGAACACATATTTCCACTCCATTTTGTTCCACAAAGGATTGGAGGTGGACCACCTTACACGCTGAAACACCCCTCTATACATGCTCCCACCTGAACCCACCTCACCAAAATAACATCAGACAGCATAAAAGCTGAAGGTTTAGGTTTTTTTAGTGGAAATTGCAGAAACTTACATAATTTATTATGAACAGGATATATTGTTGGCTACAAAAATAGAACTTTTATATTTAGGTTAGAGGCAAAAAGATTTCAGCAGAGTTTTTAAAATTCTGGGTGTCATTTTTTTTTTTTTTAGAAAAGGAGATGAACATTTATTCCTTCTTTTATCATTTCTAATTAGCATGTATTCTTTCTTCTCTGGATTGAATGTACTAAATCTAAGGAAGAGATGACATCACACAGCACCATTTAGTATTCCCAGTGCCCTGGTTTGTACTTAGGTTTGAAATTCTTACATTTGATTGAAAGAGCATTTTAGCAATAGGTATAATATATATAATCTGTGATCTATTTTTTCTTCTTAATGAACCATCCATAAAAAAAAAAAAACTAGTCAAAGCATATGTTGATCTGTTTGCGAAATAAGTGGATCTAAAAAGCTCCTTCTCTGTAGAACAACCTGTAATTAGTATGGAGATTCCTTTCTAATTATATGCATTTATTAGCCTGAACTTTGCCTGGGGTAAACCTTAAAAGGCTTACAAAGGGCACTGCCCCACATCTTCAGATATTTCCTCTTCAAAAGCTCAAAAGTGAAACCTTAGTTCTCAAACTTAATTCATTCTGGAAAACTGTTAAAGAAGTGATTTGTTCGAAAACAGAATTTCCTTAGTTGCCTGAGAGGTGCATGACTAATCATACAGGTATCAGCATGAAAGGGTTTTGGGCAGAGAATGGAGACCCAAAGTTCTGTTAGACAACCAAGACATTTTTTTCTGTTAAACAACTTGATCAAGAACCGAATTGTTCAAGACCAAGATGTTCAAGAACCAAGGTTTGACTGTATTTTTAGAGCATTAAGATGCAATCTAAGGAAACATCATGTCACTCATAACTTCAAAAAGTCCATTTTTCAATTTCTAGTTTATTACATATTGAAATGAGGCTTTTCTGTAAAAGCCAAAATAACCCCACCCATGGTTCACCTTTTTGCAAGCTGTGCATTTGTTATTTTACTAATTTATTGTTATTGTTATTTTTAATCCTATTTTATTCTTATTCTTTATACTATTTTATTTTTATTGTTTGCGCACATTCAATTATCAGTGTTAAAAGCCTCTGAACAAAACTTAAGTTGAAACACATTTGAAATTACAATCATAGAAACTGGTTTCTTGGGGGTCTGACCTGGCCATTGTGAGTTTTTGAAAGCTTCCCAATTGATCCTAATATGCAGCCAGGTTAAGGCACATCTATCTGTACTAGAATCTGAGTCCAGTTTTCTATTTTCACCTTTTCTCACTCCTATCCCATTACCTTGAGATACTCTCAGTCTTCTTAATGCACATTTGTCTTCACCCCATGCTTTTCCTCTCCTTTTCCCTGTCTGCTATGCTCCTCGCATCTTCAAAGACCATCTCTTCTGTGATATTCTTTCTGATGATTCCAGTCCCAACTATTCTAGCAATTTCTCTCTATGCCCCCACATTTTAGATCCATTATTTTCTAGGATATTATCCATTTTTTCTGCATATTTATGAAGTTGTTACAGTAATGAGTTCTTTTTGAAATCTTAATGGCATCTAGATTTGTCACCTTTTTCATTCTTAATAACTGTTCTTTTTTTCAGTCATTCCAGAAATATGTCTATTTTGTATCTTTCAAAAAACCAGCTGTTTTGGATTGATCCTATTGTTTTTTTTTTTCCTATTTTATTAATTCCTGCTCCTTTCTTTCTTCTTCTTTGGGTTTCCTTGGATTTTTCTCTAACTGTTTTTGTTGCATTCTTAGCTCATTAGTATTTTTAACTATCTTTTATGATACGTTCATGAAAGGCTGTAATTTTTTAATTGTTGCTTTAGCTGAATTTCAGTTTTGATTTACAATTTTTATCACCTTTCAGTTCTAACATTTTGCAATATTCATTAGGATTTATGCATTGAATGATAAATTAGTAATTGTTTTTTAAAGTTTCCAAATGTGTAGAATTTGAGGCTTTTAGTTTTGAAAAATTTAGTTTGTAAGAAAATAAATTTTATTTGCTGAGTCTTGCTTTGTGCCCTCGTATGTGGGCAGGGTTAGTTCTGTATGTGCTTTAAAAAATATATCTTCTTGAATTATAGGGTGTGGGGTTAGACCAAGCTTGTAATAACATCCAAATAGTAAATTTTGTGAATATTATTTTCTGTGCTCTTATGAGTACTTTGCTTGACGCAGCAGGCTCTGAGAATAATGCGTTAAAATCCTGCACTATGAATGTGAATTTTGTAAATTTTGCTTTATATATTTTTAGTTATATTTTTAGAAACATGCAAGTTCAACATTATCTCTCATTGATGAATTATTTCTGTTTATCATTATTGACTTACCCTCTTTATCACTAGTTATTTTTTTTCTTTTAAAGTTCATTTTGCCTGATATTACAGTTGTTACAAATACTTTTGATAAATTCAGGGCTAGGCAAAAGTAGGTTTACTGTTATGAGTACATGGAACACAGTTTATTCTTGTATTATTGCTTATTAATTATTATATTATTTATTTTTATTATTATTCACCTGCTTTTACCCACCCCTGTATTTGCCAATGGTATTGTTCTATATCACTGTATTTAACCTTGCTGTGCAATATTTTAGATGTCTCTTAAGCAGCATATAACTGCATTTTGTTTTCTTTTACAGCTCAATCTGAGAAAGTCATAACTGAAAAACTTGATCCAGTTACATATTGATATTACTGATATATTTTGTTTTATTTCCACCACGTTATTTTTTTATCTACTATTAATTTCCTGTTTTTCTTCTACCCTGCATTCTCTTGGAAATTACACATTGTATATTTATTCTTTTAGTGGTTAACCTTAATTTATTAACATGCATACTTGAAATGTAAAGTTAATCAGAATGTCCATAATCCCCCAAAATAACACAAAGACCTTGGTATGTCACCTCTCACTAAACTTCCATGTTTTTGTTGCCTGACATTTATTTCTACCGTCTCCCCAAATGAATCATCACTGTTAGTGTTTTTAGAGTTTATTTAAGGTTGCTTACATGTGCATACACCCATTCTTTTTCGTTGTTGTTGTTTTGTTGATTTAAACATTGCAACTTGCATCTCTATCCTTTTGGGTTCAATTTAGTTTTTACTGAAATACATGTTTTGTTTGTTTTCATTAAGCAGCCTATACATGATAAGTAATCTCAATATTTGTCTGAAAAATCATATCATCCTTTCTCTTGAATGATAGTTTAGCTGAGGATAAAATCCTAGATTTGTATTTGAGCGTTTTTCTTTTACTATTATTAATAATAAGTCTAATTGTTCATTTCTAGGTAAGCTATCATTTCTCCCTAGTTGCCTGTAAGACCTTCTCTTTGCTTTTGATGTTCCACTTCCATATATCATGGACACTTTCTAATGTCTCATTGAGTTTGTTTTTATTTTTTCCATATCTTTATTTCTTATAGACCATCAGGATAATCTCAGTTATCTTCCAGTTCTCTTCCCCAATTTGTCTGATTTGTTTTAATATCCAAGAAGTTTTGTTTTTATTTTTTTTAAACCCCTGTAGCTTTTTTATAGTGGCCTCTCTTTTCACTGACTTCACATCCTGTATCTAAAAATCCTCAATTTTTATCCTTTCTTTTAAATATCCTAATATCTAAAGTTCATGGGTGCTAATCCTCTTGTATGTTGTGTTTGCTGACTGTCACTCATGAGAGATTGTTTTCTTGTGTTTTTAATGTTTGTAAGAAAGTTTCTCTTCAGTGAAGATTTTTTAAAAAATAAACTTTATTTTGGAATAATTATAGATTTATGGAAAAGACACAAAGATAATAAAAAGATTTCCTGCCAGTCCCCCTTGATGTTAACACCTTACATTAACTATCCTTGTACATTTGTTAAAATGAGGAAACCAATACTGACACGTAACAATTAACTAAACTCCTGTATTTGTTCAGACCTCAGCAATTTTTCCTTCAATGTCTTTTTTTCTGTTCCAGGATGCAATCTAGAATACCATATTACATTTAGAAAGTGGATTGCAACCTTGCTTATAGAATTGTCTCTACAGAGAGCTTTTGCATTTGTTTACCCAAGCACCCTAGGAGTTTTGCTGATGCAGAACCAGATTTTATATTAGCTTCTCAGCTTGAAGAATCATACAGAAAATAGGTAGTAATAAATTTTGATTCCACACCTGTACATGGCTTGTTATTGCTGCAGGGTCTTTTCCTATTCCCTCTTCCACTGAATTTATTCAGGGTCATGAGATATGTATTATTGCTCAACGTGGGCCCAAGGATATGTCTCTTGATCCCTTGTAGGGGTAAACCCTCAAGGCATTGAGCAGTATACTAGGTTCAATGTCCTACTGTACCCCCTACCTCCTGGTCATCAGTGGAACACAACTCATGAGTCTATTGCTCTAGCTTTAAGTTTCCTTGTTTCTGTCTCTTGAAGATTTATCTTTTTGTCTTTGGATATATATTTAATTCTTTTTTTATTTTCTTGATTTTTAAAAATGTTTTTTTATAAATTTATTTTTTCAACTACATTTGTCTCTGCCTTCCCCCCACCACTTTCCCTTGCCCCCTCCCTCCCTCCCACCCTCCCTCAACTCTACCCCTTTGGTTTTCTCCATGAGTCCTTTCTATATGTTCCTTGACTTTCCCCTTTCCCTTCCTTCCCCCCGCCCCCCTCCCTCCTTCCCTCTTGTCTCTGTTGGTTTCTTTTCCTTTCAGTGTTGCTGGTCTTATTTTCTTTGCATCTTTGTATTGTTGGTTAGGTTCCACTTATAGGTGAGATGTATATTTAATTCTTAAACATATTTTTATCCATTATTTGAGGATCTG